TACTCATTTCTAAACCACGATACATTGGATCTAGCCAAACAATTTTTTTTGTTGTTTTTTGAAATAACGAAGTCTGGATATGACTGCAAATAGAACTTCTCAAACTTTATCACATCGTTTCTTTGAAGTTGACTTTGTAGTAAAAATAAAAATTGGGTTTAGAAGATTTTTGAAGAGTGAATGGTAATTTTTCAAAACACAATGCTGTGATTGAATTTTCTTTATTGAACAATGAATTTTGTCTACGCTTTATATGCATTTTAATGTTTGTGAGGCTTGACAAGTTTGTTTGAGATGACTTTAAAAAGTGCTCTCCAGAATTCAATCCTTCAACCAACAGATCAATCCAAGTTTATCCATTATTTCACTGGTAAGCAATAAATATCGGCAGTATCCTGGATTTGCTGATTCCCCATTTCATATATTTTCATAGAACGGCGCTATTACAATTACATAAAATGCTTATAGATCCGTCAATATTTTCAACTTTACAATTTATTGATATTTAATGTAGCTTTACTTGTCAAGAATAAAACCCGAACACAATGGAGTGTATAGGGAATAATCCAAAAATAGTGAGAGATCATTTTCTTCTGCTGTAGTCATTTGACTCTATTCGAAGATTTTCTCAAAGCAAGACACAATCGATCTTTTGAAAAAATCAGTTAAAAAGAGCTTGCAACGTAGATTCTGAAAATATGTTGTTAATTTTTCTAAAACTTTCTATAGCCAATGAATAATACAACAATAATATCTGTTATAAATCAATCACTTTCAAAACTTTTGTTTTGTAGATTTAAACTACTTTTGATAAAATCATCCGTAAGCTATTTGCTTATCCATTAGTAGTGTATCCACGTCTAATATTGACTTTTTGTTATATCTCTTCAGATATGCATAAGAAAAGTGAGAAAACAACAAAGATTTTAACAATGTTGACACGAAAAAAATACAGATGTAAATAATGCTCTAGAGATTTATTTTTTAACCCAGTTTTTATAATTGATCAATTGTAGATACTCGTTGCTTTCACGTTTTTTTTAAAACTCTATCAATCAGATTAACAATGCTAAACATATTCTCTAGTCTTACTGTTCACAGTCGGAAGAAAAATAGGAAGGAAGAATTACATCCGTTTTTTTCTTCTCTTTTTTAATCTTGACACAAAATAACGAAATAGACAAGATATAGGTTAGTATGCAAAAATCGTTTGTTTTCTCTACAATTTTCTTATGTTCAGATTAAACAGGCACAAGCATCCCCATATACTTTAAATCAAAAGATAAAAAAGACTAAAAATGGTACGTATTGTTGCATAAAATCAAAACTTAAAATATTATTAAAAACTATCGTAGATAGTTAAAATCATTATTATCGGATAATGATGCTGAAGATGTTGTTTACGAATTCTATTAAATTCTTTTTTAAATCTAGGATCTTGACACACTTCAAAATCATTATGGTAGTTTGGTTGTTGTTATTACATTTTTAAGTCGAATTATATTCGTTGGATTCTGTTGGAGTTATGGAACAGTAATTGTTCAATTTAAAAAAGAAAATTCAACAATATCCAACACAGAATTAAGTTTGTATTTATCCTAAAGTTTTATTTAATAGAAAGAAGAAAAAAGAAATAATTCCATTTAGGTTGGATTGGTAGTATCGGTCAAAGTTTTGGTGGTCTTCTCGCTCCATTAATTTTTTTCTTAGCTCGTCGATATGGATATCAACTAGCATTTATTTTTTCACTTATAACATGTGTTATTTCATTATTAATTTCATCAACTATTCGTAATCTTCATTGGTTATTAATAACCTATTCAATTCCATATGGTTTTGCTAATTCAGTTATTTTCATTCTTGGTACATTAATTTGTGGTCTTTATTATCCTGTTAGTCAATATTCAAAACATATTCTTGTTATGTGTATTATTTCAACAGGATTTCCATTGGGTTATCATGTTATGAGTGCTTTGATATTTTCCTCAATTGAACATCATGGATGGCAATCAATGAAACGACGTATTGCTCTGTTAGAATTATTTGCTAGTTGTATACTTGGTCCACTTTTTACTACGAAATATTTACCAAGTACAGCACCAGATCATCGTCGTATGTCAATAGCAGTTATACAAAATAATAATAATCGAAAAACTTATTTTTCATTAACAATCATTGTTTGGATGTTAGGAATATTTACAACAGTATCTGCAGTCAACAATTTTCTTCTTCATTTAGTAGGTTTTTGAAAGAAGATGTTTTTATTTTAGTTATGTAAAACATGACCTAACAGGTGTGTTGAAATGTAGGAGTAAAAACTTGGATCTTCACAGATCGGCACAGGCATAATAGATCGTATACCAAAAACGTCTCGTTATGATATAGTATATGATGCAAAAGTAATGTGAGAAAATGTTCGTCTTGATTTCTCTTTCGAAAAGAGAAGCACTCGTAGAATGCAAATAAATTATATAAAAACGACAGTTAATGAATTGATGAGAACGGTTAAACAACAGATCAATCATATCAATAAAACTACGCTACAGGCTATAGTGCAAGATATTCGAAAAAAAGAACTTCGACACATGTGCCGTGATAAACAATATTAAGTTTGTTGAATAAAGATTTATTGTTCGCCTTGCTGTTTTTAATAAATATATATATATAGGTTTGTTTATATATAAAGTTTTTTTTATAGCATATTTATTTGGAACATCTTCATGTTGCTCCAGCTCATGCTGATTTTTGGTTTCGTTTACATGGTCTATTCGATGCATTATTTCGACTATTAATTCCATTTTTTATTCGATTTTATCCAATAAATATTATTTATCTTTTTCCAATATGTGTTTTTACTGGTTTTATTTTCTTAATACTAACATTCGGTCTATATACAAGTGTACATGCATTAGCAGTTCTATCCATTGCTTGTGAGTTCATTTAGGAAAATTTCATTTCCTCGTCAATGATTTTTTCATGTATTTCTAAATAGTATTTAGTTTTACATCAGCTGTTACTACATCACTTCAATATACAGTTTCAAATCAACTCTTCGAAAATGATCAAACGGAACAAGGTTATGTCTATCATGTAATTATTACAAGTCTTGGTTTAATCATAGGTCCAGTGGTTGGAGGTACGAATATATATACCTATACGTATTTGAAGTTGCCTTTTATATGTTGAAACGTAAAATTGTGATGCATCAATCGAAACTATATGGTTTTCAATTAGTGAAGAGTTTTCTATGTAGATTTAACTAGGGTTTGCGGATATGGATATTTCTCTGACCCGCACGGTGTAAGCTCATTAGCTCGATAAGCTAGAGATCTGCAGTTTTTATCAAAATTTCTTGAAGTATCAGACAAACAGACGTTCGGAGCGCTCTTTTTTCGATTACTGAAAATTGTGAGTCACTAGCTGTTTCCATTGTCGAGTTGTTGAGCTTACACTGAACTCTCTTTATTTGTGGAGCGAACATCAATCATGAACTGAAATTGAAGAGTTGCTGACAAAAATGAAGCTTATTCGCTTGCAAGAGTCTCCGAAATTCCGCTTGATCAGTCTGTTTAGTTGCACGCATCATTTATTAATTTGATATACATGAAAGAAAATGTTTTATTTTCTTTTAGGTAAACTTCTGGATATAACCGAAAATTATAAATCGATTATTCTAACATCAATGGTTTTTCTTATTATTAGTTTTATTTCATTTAATGTCACGATTTTATTATTGAAGAAGCAGAAGAAGAATGAATTAGAACAAAATCAAATTTCTACTCTATAATACAATAATATATATATGCCTATGAATTGTTATCATATTATTTAAGATTAGACAATGGTGCATTTGGTAATTGTTTAATACCTGTATCTACACTAAAATTAACTTGAATGGGTACTGTACTAGCATTACCCGTTGGACAAGGACATGATTCAACTGTCTTGGATGATGATTTTCCACCACATAGACAATTACAATCTAATCCATATCGTGGTTTTGATATATCTTTTACAAGTTGTTTAAATTGAGATTGATCAATATTACATGCTAACGAAGGAATATAACGTTGACGTATACCACAACATGTACAATCACAATCGAGAAAATGAAGTTTAAATTGTTCATCTTTTTGTTCACATGACATATTTATGTTAGATAATTAAATATATATAAAAAGATGAAAAATAAGATAAAATAGAGATGTATATTTGTATATATGCGCGCTATTTATTCGATGTGGTTCTTTTTTTTGTAATTTAAATGATAATAAATTCATTCATTGAACAAGTTTACTTTTGATTCTCATCTATTAACAAATAAGATGATGGTATTCAGCGATGCACCTTGCTGAACTTTACAGAATGTAAGAACAAACTTTGTTCGTGTTAAATTGATCATAATAAATGACAAACGCTGGTTCCTAATTCGATAGTTTCAATTATTTTATTAATGTTTTCTTATCTTACTTGCTTTGTTTTATTGTTTTTTTTTGTTCAGATATTACTCTAAAAACACACCATATGAATTATTTTTTTGTCGTATGTCTTTCACTCTTCTCAACTGTAGCTTTATTATTCATTATAGAATATTCTGCATTTCATTCTAGTAAACAACTTCTACATTGATTGTTCTATAGTGATGATGAAATATAATTTAGATTGATAGGAGCATTATAAGTTCAATAATAATTCTTTTTATTGATGATAACAAAACATAAGTATTATTATTTTAAATTGATTATCATAGATTAGTTTTAAAATATTGCCAATAATAATATTGTAGAAAATTTTATTTTGTTCACAAATAGCTAGAAGAATAACATCAATATCAATTTATCAATATTGATATCGTTTATCTTTTAAGATATTTGTCACAAAAAAAAAACAAAATACAACGGTTGCACATGAAGATATTTGATTTTTATGAAAAATTTTCAAATTTTTAATTTGTAACTACCTGTCATTAAAAAAGAAAGAGATCAAAGCCAACATAAACACTATAAAGTATAATAGACTTTATCTTGAGGTGCTTGCTGATGATAGGAGTAATGCTGTCGTTGCTGTTGATGAAATTGTTGCTGTTGTTGTTGTTGTTGCTGCTGCTGCTGGCGAAATTGTTGCTGTTGTTGCTGATGAAGCTGTTGCTGCTGTTGTTGATGAAGTTGTTGTTGTTGTTGTTGAAAAAGTTGCTGCTGTTGTTGAATTTCTGCTACAAATTGTCTAATTTGTTCTTCAGTCATAACGTATTGTTGTCCATTCATTGTAACTAGATAGAGTTGCTTTTGATCATCAGGAGTAGAACCATTAATTGAAGTTTCATTCGATGGTACGTTGAATCCACTGGCAGCAAGATTTTGTGTATCTTCATTATCGAGTACTTCGATTAAAATTCCTTGAGCAGACATCGTTTGATAGTATTGATGGATAAATTGAGTCTGTGGATGTGGACGTGGATGAAAGATTTGTTGTTGAGTCATATGTGGATGTACATGATGATGTGCATATATGAAACCATTAGGATATGCTTGTTGTTGATAATAAGCGGCGGCAGCAGCAGCAGAAGGCATTGTGAATATTGGATGACGAACATGAGAATTGTTATACATGAATGATTGAGAATAATTTTGATAATATTCGTGTGCTTTGTCTGATTCTTGTTTACGAAATAAGGGTGGATCATCAGGCTCTTCAACAATTGGTTTTGCTGATGTTGAGGAACTTGTAGCACTATGATGATCATCAGTATCTGAACCAACTTCAATAATTCGAGGATTCTGACGAAATGAATCATTTCTCATCGAATTTTGCTTAGTGCGAACAGAATTGAATTTATTCGGATCTATTTTATATTGTTTATGATAAGTAAAAGAGATGATTTGCAATGCTTATTAAGAGAACAAAAAAAAGAAGAACTTACTAATCATACGTTGCAGGGCATAGTAAATTATTTCTCCTCCATCTGGTGAACGTCTAAGAAAATCATGTTTCGTCAACAGTACTAATGCTTGACCTAAATAAAATGTGTATATATGCAACTATAGTGAATGCATGATAGGAATATTATAATTAAGTACTTTACCATTCATTTGAAATTTTGCAGTTGTTGCCTTTTTTAATTCGAATTTTTGACATTGTTCTTCGATCCAATGTTGTACCTCAGCTGATGACCACTGCGTCACATCTTTCTCGCTAGGATTCGAAGATGATTGTTCTATGTTATCGGTAGAAGATGACTTTGCTGCAGACACTTGATCGTTATCGTTCATCGCCGTAGCGGCAGGAGAAGCAGAATTTGATGTAGTAGTTGTTGTTGTTGTTGTTGTTTCGGTACTGTCAACTCCCTTATAGGGTGCGACATTAACTCGATGACGATTTTGCGACAAATATTGATAGTAGCCTGTAATAGGCACTGATTGTAATCGATGACTAATCATCATATAATAAGAAAGAAGAAAAAAGTAAACAGCAATACGTGAGATATAATAAATGCATATGCAAACGATAGAGAAAAAGCAATAATAAGAATGATGAAACTATGTACAGGAGCAATATGAATAAGTGAGCAAGCACGAACGTGTATTCATTTTTTTCTTCCTCACGGTCTTTACTACACTTTACTTGTATGATTGATCGAACGAAAAACCTAGTGAAACGAGACGACCAATCTTTATATCATCTGTTTTGCTTTCGTAACAATAATGATATACTAAGGTATGCTAATAAGACAACAAAATAGATCAATTTACAGTGAGATTTTTGAAATTAAAATTAAATATAACATATGATTTTGTTGATCTATTATTGTACTTATTGTCATTCTTTCTTTTTTTTTTGTTTATCTGACTTCTACTTCAAACAAATCAAGGGAATCATTCAACCATAACTGTGATGTATGAGTGAACATCCAAATCATTGGTTATTTCACTCAATTATATGCATATCGTCTATCAATGTAGACATGGATGACAAAATTTTATCGTAGCTTCTATTTATTATCGCATACTATATTTAAGAATCTTATAAGAAATTAAATTAAGTCTGATTGTATTTTTATTCATATGAAAAAGAAAAAGAAAAAGAAAAAAGAAATTCAATCTATACTATTGTACTTTTAATCAAATAATAGTTTATTATTCAAAGCTAATCTTCATTTTAACGAGCTATGGTGCAAACAGACAAGGCAGGACATTTATGATCTTTTGAACAATATGAAGGTAAGGCAAATATGCTTGGATCTATGGCACCTTTTTTAAAACTGTTTACATCAAATACCATTAAATCATTTGGTTGTTGATCAATTACATAAGGTACTTGAGTAGCATCAACTTGCCAATAATAATTATTTTGAAGACCTTTCTTATTCCATACTTGATATTTAACTGAATCTGTTGTATTATATCCAATAAATGTTGCATCTGATAACCAATCAGGTTTTAAAATTCCACAACCACTTTCTGATGTACAACACATACAACATGAATTCAATGTTGGAAAAACAAGATATCGAAGACCGTTGACAACAAGATGAGTACATGGAACATCTCTAAAAAGTTTTACTGAACTGCAATAACGATCATATTTGCCTGTTGAACGATCAATACGACTGTTAAATAAAAAATAAATGTAGAAAATAATAATGAACATAGAATTAAATTAACTGACATAGCTTTCTGATCAAAATCATAATAGTAAGTTCCATGAATATTTGAACTTGTTCCAATTACTGGTAGAGTACTTGTTTCATTAAATGTTTCTTGAAAAGCTACTGGCCAAACTGGTGGTGATGGATCAGCTATTGTTTAATACAAATAAATAGATAAGAAAATTGAAAAACAAAAAGTAAGATATATGTAAATATATATATAATTACCAGCAGTAAATAGACTGCAATCACTACACAAAACGGCAATAATCAATATAAAAACCAATTGATGACAATACATTTTGAAATATCTATTAATAGCGTAAAAACTGATTTGTATTCATGATTGAATATGTTTTATAGTGAAATTAAAAATAAAGAGAAAATGATTGAGAAAAGAATCCAGCTGCTACTTTTTTAAGCATCATATGCTGATGTTCTCAGATAACTAGAATAAATGCATGAGAATGATAGCAAAGAGAAAAAAAATGAATTTGTCATGATGATCATACCTTACATGAGATAAATTTTGTTATATAAATTCTGAAATAAAGATAATACAAGTATATTACGATTATTTTTATTTTAGAAGCATAGGTTTTGATCAAGAATGACAGATTTTAATACAAAATTTATTCAGTTTTCTTTTCAAACTTTATCCAAACAAAAAATACGATCTGATTTCTACAATAGCAGAGGGTGAACATAAGCGAGTTAAATTTTTATTATTCATTTGATCTAAAATTAAACAATGAATTTCAAGGCCTCCCAATAAATAAATGACTATCGCACGAAATTAAAAACATATTTTTTATTCAGTGAGAGAAGATTTGAGACAAAGAAAAGAGTCATTAAGCGATGCAATTGTCTTAGTCTTGAAATGGAACCGATATTAGTAAAATATACTTCAACTATCCTTCAGCTCGAATAGATTATTAGCTGCAAAATTTTTAAAGTCTACGTTGATCATTTTCAACATCTACTCCAGGCTGTTCTAACAGAAACTTGAAATTGAATTATCAAAATAATATTCGATTGTTTTATTAAAGAGTTATCTAAGAAAATGGCTTGGTGTAGGGCATCGTGACTGGAAAATTTCACGCTCTGTCGATTTATAATTTCTTCAAGTTGAATCTCAATTAGAGTAGAGCATATGTTCTTAATACTATAATAGAATCAATAGAAAATGCTGTCAGAAAACGAAACAAAACATTTATAAAAAAAAGAAAATAGATTTATAATTGATTTGAATAACAGTATGCGTCAAACGAATTTCTCTCGAGTTTTCATGTAGAACCGCAAAGTTTTGAAAAGTTTTCCGACCTTCACGACTAATCAAATGGTAGTCATCTTTGCCATATACATGTCTCACTTCAACATACGACATCAGTTCTACCCAACCAAAGCTTGTAACGGAAAAATGGCATTAAAATGATCAAAAATTTACATCATTATGACGGTGAAAAACTGTCACAAATAACCCTCAACAATGCCTACTGTGTTAGGCATTAAAGTAGTTGATTTCATGAAGAGAAAACGATTTTTTTTGACAGTTTTTTACCATGTTTTCGTTACAATCTCTGGCTGAGTATGATCCATAATTTCCCGGGATATTCTTCAAATGAGTAGTGCAAGGTAAACAATCTTCTAATATACGTGTTTGTTTCTTTTATGATTAAGTTCTTACATAGATATTTAATCATAAAAGAAACAAACACATATATTAGAAGATTGTTTATCTTGCACTACTAGTTTGAAGAATGTCTTGGAAAAGCACTCTTTTTCCTCAGTATAGAATGCACTAATGTTTGGATGAAAACTCTACTCAACCATCTAAACAACAATCTGTTTCACTAATCAATTTCAGTCATTTCTATTCTTTCGTAAACATTTGATGAAATTGAGTGCATCTCTTAAAATATTATTGTTTGACCATTTCCATAACGTGCTTTAATTATCTAATTCCATCAGAACCTTTTTAGAAATGTTCTAACTGATACCTCACATCAATTTTTTTTATAAATAAAGTCTTTCTCTATTAACTATTTAAAACTGTATATTTCTTTGGCGCGATAATAATAGAATGAAATACTCAAAACACTTTATAAAAATGCTCACATAAAAGATATTTTTTATTATACCCTCGATTTCATCAAATTTTTGATGTACACTGAGGGACATAAATGATTTTAATTGATGGGTCAAACACGCGACTCTATAGTTTTCAAAGAACTTCTAAATTAAAACTAACATGATTTAGTTTTAATTGGAATTAATCAATCATTGAATGAAATTATAGAGCCTATTTAGAAATTAAGAAGTCAGAGTATGATGGAAAAAATTACATAGATACGATAAAAATTCCGGAAAATACGTTAAATCACAAAGAATAACATTGTCAGTTAGGTCTCATATCTATATCACACACAGAATTCAGAACGGTATGAAATAGATTTCT